TCTTTATATTAAAATGCTATGAGAATATTTAAAAAATAGTTAATCATCTATACATTGTTAATGTAAAGTGACAACTAATCATATATTTTAATAATATCATGTTAGTTGTTTATTTAATGAAATAATAATAAAATAAACAATTTTAAAAGATATTATTAATTGTCAATATTAAAAACTTTATACTAACAGTGTATAAATGATTATCTCTTTAAAAAAATATAGAATCCTAATTTTTAATAAGTGACATTGAGATGATAATAGGTTGAAGTAGCTCGGGCTTGGGTGACGTGTACGTCCTTCAAACGAAAGAAACAGTTATGGTGGTTAGTCTGGGGTCCAGTGAACATGAAATGGACCACGGCACTTGAATTGTGGTGGTGTAGGTTACAACTAGTTACTATGTTCAGTTTGCCATAACCATCATACTTCTTTTTCTATCACCTAATTACCTAATTCCTTTAGTTTTGGAAGAAGTTAGAGGAGAAATAAAATCTACAAATTTTATATTCAAATTTAAATAATATTGTTGTTATTATATTTCTTTTAACTAATTCAATATATTATATAATTCATTAAGATTAGTTAAGTTAGTTAATAATGTTTATTTTGTCTTAAAAATTAGTTAATATTGATGAGAAACTTACTCTATCAATTTTTTTTATAAGTTTTTTACTCTAGTTATTTATTTCTTTTGATTTTTTTATAAGATTCAATTACCACTACAATTATTAGAGTTAACATTCAATTTGTCCCAAATTTATATTTTTCATTTTATTTTGTTTGAGATTTTGATGATTATTAATTGTCCGTTTTAATTTGATTGTCATTTTGTATATAATATCAATTTAATGTTAAATAACTTGTTTCTATTATATCCTTAACTGTTATTAATGCAGTTTTTAATTTTTTTTCTTTTCTTTTTTTAATACCAATTTCACTGGTAGAGATCCAACAGATTTTAGAATATATAGAAAAATCACATAAAAATATTTATGAAATGAGACAATTTCTTAAATCCTCTACCAAAACCCTTAACCATCAAATAAAATAGGACGAGTTGTGTAATTCTTTTTCAAAGTTATCCCATAATATTATTGAGATTCTTACCTGCTAAACTATTTATTGACTCAAGAAAAATGTATTAATCAAACATATTAAAATATGAGAAGTGACTTTCATTAAAAGTATTTTTTTTAAAAAGAAAATTATAAAAAGACATTTTAGTTTCATTGTTACAAATGGAACAATAAAGACTTTTGGTTAATTTAGTTAGTATCATTAAATTTTTCATGAATTTATACTCCTTTAGTCTAAACTGAACAGATTATCATTTAAAAATTGTCTTAAAATGAATTTATATTTTCACTTTTTAATGTAACATTAATAATTATTTTTTCTAATTTTTTCATTTATAAATTACTATTCAACTACTATAATTTAAAATAATATATTTATTGATAGAATGATATATATTTGTAATAAAATTGTATAAAAATATATATATTTAGTGATAAAGAAATTATTATTTAGTAAAAAAAAAACTCAAGTATTATTTAGATGCCGCCTTTGAAAACCACACTAATAAGGGCAATAATTCAGATAGAATCATGATTAATTATGGACCGGCGCCCGAAAGTGTTCAGTATTTCAATTTCAGCGTGGCCCCTCCAAGGGAATCATTTGAATTCAGTTTAGTCACTTGTAATCCAGCTACTCTTCCAAGTGGAATATTTTAGACCCTTAGATTGATTCTAATAATGAATCAAATCCTAAGTTAAACAGCTGACACGTGTTTCTGTTTTGTTTCTTTCTTTCCACTGGAGAAAGTAAACACTTTCGCATCTCTTTAGATTTTAAAAATTAAATATAAAATAAAATAAGAGACAATGTAATAGATGTCGTAGCCGTAGGTGATTATGTGAACAAAATGTAAAAAGTTGTTTCTTACTTAATATTTAAAAAGTACAATGGATCATTGAAAAGTAAAAGCAGAAACAAACAAAATTACATATATAATACTTCTTTTCGTTAATGATGATTATGGTATAATCATAAAATTATTTTATATAATAATTTAAATTTGTATAATAAAATATTATATGATCTTTATTTTTTAAATTATAAATTTTATCTATATATTAAAATTTTTTAATTCAACTGAATTAAGTCTATCAATAATTATTTTTTAAATAAATAAATATTTAATTCTTTATTTATATATTTATATATATATAGGATATATGTATATAATTATAATTATTTTTTTAGTTTAAATTGATAAAATATCAATCGATTAATCATTGTGTAACTATTATGGATGATAATGAAATGGGATTAATGTGAGTTTCAATATTCTCATCTCCATACCCTATACCCATACCCAAAAAATATAAAGCTTGTAACTCATTCCTTGTCGGATATCAGTTATACCTGTACCGGCTAAAAAATTAATTAAATATTATTTTACAAAAAAAAATATGAAATCAATAATTTCAACTTAGTATAGAAATTACAAAATTACATTAATTAAGTTTTATTTGACATAAATGTAAAATAGAGTAATAATTATATAGTTTTCAAGCAAATTCTAAAAATAATTATATTTTTATAAATTGAAAACAAGTATGAGTATGCAGTAAGTAAACATATACTCACCCCTATTTCTGTACCCAATTTAATAAATCGAATATTACATGTACCCAGTCAAACCAAATATTTTTCATCAAAATAAGGGTGAGTTTGAGCATTATTTACGAGTACGGATTTGCTTGACATCCTTAATAGCTACTATAGTTGGATGGCCTGGTACACCCTTAAACTAGGCTAAACTAAGTCTTATAAAGGGTCACCTAAACAAAACCAAGTGATTTAGGCCCAGCTCGGTAAGGACGACAGGCCAAATGGACCTAGGTCAAACTGACTCACAAGCTTATGAGCTGACTTGTTTAATTTATATGGAAAATATTATGAACTACTGTCGTTGTAAAATTGTAAATATGTATTATGTTATAAAACAATGGAATAAAATATAATAACAATAATAATCGTTCACTCTTATGTATTTGCTTTCGAAATTGTGGTTACAATTTTAGAGTTAGGGTTAACTACTATGAGAGTTTCTTCACTCTTATTTCATGTATTAATCATTTAAGACGTAATATTATTAAATGTATTGGATCTCCTAAGTATCCAAATGTTAGGGTTACGTTGGATAACAAACCTAGTTTATTGAAGTAGTGAAAATTTGATCATAAGGCTTAAAAGAATGCATTTGTTGGGTGTATGATCAAATATGATATTTTGAATTTGAAGGGTTTGGATAGTGAAGAAAGTGTTAAATCCTAATTTTGAATTAAATTGTAGAAACACTTCAATAGTTAATTGCAATAAAGTGTTTTTAATTGAACAAAAAAAATTAAAGAATATGTTAGCTACTATTATTAGTAGAATATGTGTTGACTTTTGATGCATGGACAATTATAACTACTCAATACTATATGATTGTAAATGGATGACTTCTCACATGTAACTAGTATATAATAGCAATTAATCACATTAGAGTTTTTATTTAAAAAATTAATTTAATTTTTTTAATTAGATCAATTTTGCTCATGACTTGACATGGGCTAGGTTGGACAAAAAAATAGTTGTCTAAAAAAATGTAAGTTATATTAACATAATCTAAAATAATATTTGACTCGTGTAAGCTAAATTAGATTGATACATTTTAACCCATTTAACATCTCTAAAAATTATCGAAGAACCTTTAAAAAATAACCATCAAATTATATAAATGAAATAATGAAAAAAGATAAACATAAAAATAATATTATTTATTTTTTGTTGTACATGAGTAGTAATTACTCAGAGATTTATGTATACATACTATAAAAAGGATACAATTCAGCAACTGCCTTTTTTTTTTCATTTTTAATCAAACACTTTTATCCCTAAATAAATCACTTTTTTAGAACTATTCATTCTCCTTAATAAAAAAAAAAACCACCCACTTACTGATTTATATAATAATGTAATTTAAATTTTAATATTTTTTTACAACTATTTTCTTGTAAAGAAGTACGAATACGTTTCTTTTTCCTAGTACTATGTAAGTTATGTTCTAACTATTTTGATTTTGACTTACTAATTTTCCTTTTACAGGTTTTGAGGCGTCAAACATGGTGGCTACATTAAAAGTTAAAACGATTAAAATCAATCCTTCCATAAGACTACTTGTTGGACGAGAAGAGTCAACACCCCCAGCACACACACACTAAAAATATATCTAATTTAATATTAAATAAAAAAAATTGGAGCAAAATTTCACAAAATTATATTAGTACAAAAAGAAATACATATTTCCGCCTCAAGTTGTTTTATGTGAACCACGACAGTTGCTCCAAACTTTTATGAGATTCACAATAATTGTCTCAACAAATTTTACCATGGAAAATCTGCAGACGCCCATAGAATCGTCTATTGATATAACATTATAAAAATGAAGTTTCTTTTTTTTGTATTTTTTTCTTATTTTTATTGGTAAATAACTAAATAGGTATTCTTTTAACTATTTTAGGATATAATAATTGATGGTAATGTAATAATAGAAAACACAACCCATTTTTTCTAAATTTGAAGAATCTCTTGACAGTTTTGACTTTTGTTACGGCGTTAAATTCGTGATTTAACTAACGCTAACCACTGCCATTGAACATATAAATTTGGGAACCAACAGTTGAATATATTTTTGTAAATAAAAGTTGGAAAAAGAAGACGAAACAATACGATGATGATTTAAAAGTTTAGTGGAGCCGAAAGGAATTGTTTGGCATAAAATTGCTTAAAAGTGTTAAAAGCAATAACTTTTTCCCATTTTGGACGAAACAGGAAATAGCGCCTTAACCTCAATAATGCAACGTGGCCCATTGTGAGGTGCGTTAGGAGAAGCATATATTATCAATCTATACGAATCTATGGGTAAGCCCCACGAAAAGTAAAAACCATTACCTCCTTAGTCCTTCCCCAATGGTTTACCTCCATCTAGCGTCTTTTTTTCCTTCCCCACACCACACTCTTATAAGTGCCTCTCTCAACCTAACATTTATTTCAAACACCCAATTTCTCTAAACCAAAATGCGTTTCCAAAACTGAAAAAAAAAGGAAGAAAAAACACCCTGTCACTGTCAGTTAACATTAATCAATGGAAGAGTGTTGTCACACGGTGTTCGGAAAGTACGAGATGGGGAGGCTTCTGGGTAAGGGGACGTTTGCCAAGGTGTATTACGGGAAGCAAATAAGCACGGGGGAGAGCGTGGCGATTAAAGTGATCAACAAGGAGCAGGTGCGGAAGGAGGGAATGATGGAGCAGATCAAACGCGAAATCGCGGTGATGCGTTTGGTGCGTCACCCAAACGTGGTGGAACTAAAAGAAGTGATGGCAACAAAGACGAAAATTTTCTTTGTGATGGAGTACGTGCGAGGCGGGGAACTATTCGCCAAAATCTCGAAAGGGAAACTGAAAGAAGATCAGGCCCGTAAATATTTTCAACAATTAATCAGCGCCGTTGATTACTGCCACAGCAGAGGGGTATCCCACCGCGACCTGAAACCCGAGAACCTTCTCCTGGACGACAACGAGAATCTCAAAATCTCGGACTTCGGACTCTCGGCGCTGCCGGAGCAGCTTCGCTACGATGGACTTCTCCACACCCAGTGCGGCACCCCTGCCTACGTGGCACCCGAAGTGCTGAGAAAAAAAGGGTACGACGGGTCGAAAGCCGATATTTGGTCATGCGGCGTCGTTTTGTATGTTCTCCTGGCTGGGTTTCTCCCTTTCCAGCACGAGAATCTGATGACCATGTACAACAAAGTCCTACGCGCGGAATTCGAGTTTCCACCGTGGTTCTCGCCGGATTCCAAGAGATTGATCTCGAAGATTCTGGTGGCGGATCCGTCCAAGAGAACCACGATTTCCGCGATAACCCGCGTGCCGTGGTTTCGCAAGGGCTTCTCCTCGTTATCCGCGCTGGACACGTGTCAGACGGAGAAGAAGCATGACGCGGTTGCCGAGGAGGGTTCCAAGAGTCCCAAATTCTTCAACGCCTTCGAGTTCATTTCCTCCATGTCTTCCGGCTTCGACCTCTCGGGGCTGTTCGAGAGCAAGAAGAAGACGGCCGCGGTCTTCACCTCCAAGTGCTCCGCGGCGGCCATCGTGGCCAAGATCGTGACGGCGGCGCGGGGGCTGAGCTTCAGGGTGGCGGAGGTGAAGGACTTCAAGATCATGCTGCAGGGGACGGCGGAGGGGCGGAAGGGGAGGCTGGCCGTCACGGCGGAGGTGTTCGAGGTGGCGCCGGAGGTCGCCGTGGTGGAGTTCTCGAAGTCCGCCGGCGACACCTTGGAGTACGCCAAGTTTTGCGAGGAGGACGTGAGGCCCGCGCTCAAGGACATTGTTTGGACGTGGCAAGGGGATGCCACGTGTACTGCTAATGTCCCCGTCTGTCACGGTGACCCAACGCCCGTTGTCACCGTGTAATTTAATTAAATGAATACTATTAATTAATAATTAGTGTGACGGACGGAGAGTTCTAGAATAGAAAAAAAGAAACGGTAAAGTTCTACTAACGATTTTGGGTTTGTCGCTTTCCTCTTTATTCCCTGCTTAATTTTCACAAAAGATAGGGTTTTCTTTTGCTTGTACATAAATTGTAATTATTCTCCTGTTTGCATTCCGAATCAAGCTTCAATTACTTTCTTAAATTCAATTTCTCATAATTTTAAAATGTTATCCTCCGATTTTATATGATTGTCATTTATAAATTTTAGCTGTAGTTAGTAGTCAAGTATATGATTTGATAGTGCACAACCGTGTATGCTATCATGTGATGTGTTACCCTGTGTCTCATCGTCTTTCACCAACATGTTGATTTCAAATTGCAGGTGAAAGCACAAGACAGAGATATCTTGGATTAAGATTAATGAATGTTTACAAGATAATGACAAATTTGCGATGCATAAAAGATGAATAATTTGAATTTAAATTGCAAGAAATGATAGAGGGAAAGATATGCCTAAGAAAATATTGTGCTATGCTAATAGTGTTTTATCACTAGTAGGGAAAGAGTAGGCTATAAAGTATTGACTATTGAGAATGGGAAACGTAAAAAGAGCAAGGTATAGCGCATTACAAATGACAAGACAGAAAAAAAAAGAAAAAAAAAAACTAGCTCGAAGCATCCAACACAAAAACAAAATAAAGTGGTGACAAATGTGTATGAAGCAGTGGTCCACAAGACCGAAAGCAGGCAAAGTAATGGAAAATTCTTGATGAATGGAGAGAGATCATCACCAAGAAATTAAGAGAAAATTGTTTAAAACAGTTACCCTTATAAAAAAAATGTTAGTCTTTTATGATTTATTGAAATTTGTTGTCCCCCAAGGAGTGCTTTAAATTTCAAACTAATTTGTGTATCTAAACCTCTCGGGTCTCTTTGAGGATTGTTTTTCCTTGACCGGGGGTGAAGGTGAGTCTGCCAACCAACCCCAATTATTTCATTCAATAATTATTATTATCACTTTGTTTGCCATAATTATTTGAATTTTAAAATACTTCCATCTTATTATTTACGATTATTTTCCCAGTTGCTAATAATGTGCTTTCTTTTGTTGGTGATTGCATAATTGATTAGGTTGTTTAAACACCCATAAAAATTTACTTGTGAAACGAATCCGACAAAAGGAATGGGAAAGTCTTTGAATAAGTCACTACACATTTATATGTTTATTTAATTTCTTGTTGACAGTGATATAGCTATCCCCACTACATATAAATTAAAAAACTACAATATTTATTTGCATGAAAGCGCTTTTTCGAGTCTTTTTCTCAACGAAAATGATTTTTTATTTTTTTAAACAGAGCATTTTTCAGTAATTTTTAACACTTTATTTGTAAATTTATCTTTTTTCTTTTAAATTAAATTTTAATACTTAAAAAAGTATAAATAGTCAAAAGAAATTTTACATATTATAAAATAAATTATTTATTATAATTTTAAAGTATAGTCAACGAAAGTGGTTGCTTCATATGTACTAAACATTGTCTAATACTAATTAGGAGAAGTTGATACACGAAATATGTATAGTGAAAGGAAGACAAAAAGGGGTGTGTAGTCTATATAGTGTATAGTGTATACCACACGGAACAAACTCTATCTATGTGTGCTTTTAATTTTCAGCAGCAAATAGCAGTGGAACAACACCTAACTGTTACCTTATCTTAGAGTATCATGTACACCATTGACGCCTTTATTAAAGGGATAGGACCTTTTGTTTTTTAACGTCATCAATTTGTTGAGTTGAGTAAGGAACTCATCAACTATAATCACTACCATTGCTCTAGTAATAAACAGATCATAATACATATAAAATTTTAAGTTCAAATTTTATTATAATTTTGATGGATAAAATAAATTTTATTAATTATTATTATTTTTTTATTATATCAAATGCGCTTATTCATAAATTATTGAGTAGAGAATGATTTTTTGACAAAATTAGTAGATATTTTTGTCAAATTATAATTAAAAAAAAAAAAAAAAGCTAATGGAAATCTACTATCAGTAGTGGTTTTAGTGCAGTGTGAGTGTGCGTCACTATTTGTTTCTCTTTTCTTATTTAGCTTTTGTTTTATCTCTAATGTCGGATGCGTAACGCGTTCAGTGGCTTCCCTCCATTGGTCTCCAACTCTCTATTATACAAACAAGTGTTTTAATTTTAGTATTCATTCATTGCATTTCTCTCTTGCACAAGCTATGATCGTGTCTCTATATCAAGCAACAATCATTTTGCGTTATCTTCTTTCTATAATAACAAGATTCGTCTTCCTTTAAATATTTTAAACTTTAAATATGTTGTTATTACAATGAAAATCCACATAAGCATAAGATATAAAGATCATTCGGATGACTACAACATTTTATACTACTATTATTGCATACCACTATCATTTTGTCAATGACACTTATTTTTGCAGAAATATAAATTGAGTGATTCCTTTTTTCCACGTTTGAAATGGTTTGTATATGTTTTTAGTTTTTAAATTTAGAATAAATTTATTTTTAATTTCTTAATTTTAAAATTATTATTTTTTATTCTTATAATTTTTTAAAATGTTATTTTAGTTTCTCAAGTCAATGATAACATATATAAAAATAACAATTTGAGATAATCATGTAATATTAGTTATATTTAATACAATATTTTTATTAATAGACATATTAGTAAGTAAGTTTTATGTGACAATATTTAACATATGATTACAGTGGTGGACCTTTTAAGGGACTATATATATATATATATATATATTTATTTATTTTATAAAATGACTAGTGAATGATAATATTTTTTTTGAATTTTATTATCATGCATGTTTATTTTGAGTAGAGAAAATAAAAAAAATTTGTTATTTTTTTAATTAGTAAAAAATTTAATTTATATATAAAAAAATTAATTTGGCACCCTCAAATTTTTTATTGATGTTCTGCCACAAAATTTGAGTATAAAGACTAAAACAATATTTTTTTTTTAAATCACAAGATTAAAAAGACTAGTTTTAAATTTGAAAAACTAAAAACAAATTTAAGATGCCTTAACAAAACACATGTCTTCCCTAGTTGGAAAAAAAATGAGAAATGATTTTATAGCATTATAGAGTTTGTCGAAAATATGATGCTAATAGTGTCATAAATTGGAAATAATCAATATTTTATAAGTTAATTAATAAAGTTGAGTTATACTCAATATTCATTCTATTAAGACGATATCAAAATATAATTTAAATATTTGCTGACAAACTCATTAAATCACTCATTATCATGTTGTTATCAGGTTACTTGCAAATATCAAGTCTTGTAAGCTTTATACTCAAGTAATAAAAAATAGTGTATTTGAGAGTATGTGTTGAAAATCTCATATCAAATAATAACATGCCTTAATTTATTAGTGTATATAAATAGGAAAACAATTTTATACCTTTCGATTTTATAAGGTTAAGTTATATGCCCAAACTCACATTCTTATGATGATATTAGAATCTATCATAACAACTTGTTATTAGGTTTATTAAGTCACCCATTACTAGACCACCAATGATTAGAAAGATTGGGTTAGACTCATTATTTGCTTTCTTAAGACAATTCACAAATAATAACAATGAGAAGAGTGTTAACAACGTTTTCAAATACACTCCTTTTACAATTAGAGATGATTCAGTGACGAGAAAAGTACACGTAAGAAGACTTAAACTTAATTCTCATTATTATCATTATAATTTTTTCTATTGATAAAAAAGTATTTCTTCTAACACATATTTTTTTTTATTAGTTACAATTTATTGAAGCTCACAAAATTAGAAAAAAAAGACTTATTAAATTCTTAAATTAGATGATTTACCAAAATTTGTAACTTGCAATAAATTATAATTAGTATAATTAAGGGTGCATTTTTTTACATTTATATTATTAGGACAAAATATTGAGATTTTGTATGACTAATTTTAATCGAAGAACTTGACTAACCATATTTGGTTTGGATCTCCTCTCCTAACAATATTTGTTTTTATTCACAAAACTCAAACACGAAGTATGTTTTAATAAAAGAATTGAGTTTACTTGGACTGACAACTTACTTGTAAGTGATGTGTTTAAAAAAATATGCTTATAATATTTTTCTAATAAAAAACCACGATGTACTATTTTATTTATCTATCTTAATTACCGTGTATTTTGACAAGAACGAAAAAAAATAGAAAGAAATAAATAAAAATGAATAATCTATTTCTTTTGTTTGGTGAGAGAGAAAATAAAATAAAAATTTTATAATTTTTTTCTTTTTAATCTTTTTATTTTATTTTAATTTTACTATAAATTCTCAAAAAGGTTAGTAACGAGTTCTAACCTTCCATGAGATCATGCCTTACTCTAATTTAAAAAAATCAGTGTAAATAATAGTTTTACTTAATGATACTATTAATTAATTTTAAAAAAATAAATTTTTTAACTAATAAACATAACTTGCAACTTTAATTGTTTAATAAATGCATTTATTTTTATAAAAAAAAATTAATGACTTATTAATAAAGTCATAATAAATTAAGAAGATAAAACTTTGTCAATTAATAAATTTGAAAGTTGATTTATGTTTTTATAATTGAAACTAAATTAGGGTTCTCATTTATTTTTTATATATAAAAGTAATAATAAAAGCTAATCATCCTTTATTTTTATTTTTTTATTCTTTTAAACTGTCACACTTTTTATTTAAGAATTACTAGACGAAAGTTTGATTCTTTTTAGAGATTGATCACCATCATTTTTCTTTAAAAAAAAAAGAAAAAAAAGGGGAAGAAAAAGCACGGCTCATGACTTTTGGTGGAATAAGAGTCAAAACCCTAGCCACCGAGAAAAAATAAAAAGGCAAAAAGGAAAGCATCTTTTTAGCCATAATATTAACTACTATTATTTTTTGTCAGAATTCATGAGTGTGTACAAAATAGAAAGTTGCCTCCAAAAATTTAAATTCAAACACTTGAACAATTTAGTTGAAAAACATAAATTACTATCATTTATATTAACTTTTAATATCAGTAAATAGATTGTATTTAATTTTAAATAAATCTGAATTTGATCTAACTTTGTCATATAAGGTTATATTTAGAGGTGTAATGTAACTATTTGATATGGGTTTGGTGGACTTGATGTAAGCATAT